GACTCAGGGTGACCAAGCAGCTGACACAAAGACACACAGCATGTCAGGGACAGAGTCTGGACGCACTGGACTATAACCTCACCCTCTCCATCAAGCCCTGCAAGCTTCAGAGCCAACCCCAAGCTCTCCTCCCTAGAGTCCAGGTGATTGAAATGGCACTTGGCTGTGGTTCTGACTGTGTCTTTGTGGGTTCTGCAGACCCCCAGCAGCAGGCAGCTGATTGAACCTTTAATGAATATTTATACAGTTAATAGCATAACCTTTTAGCAAGGACAATGATTAAACAATCTGTCTGCTTCCTTTCTTTATAATTAATAAGACATTTGCTGTGTCCCTAAATAGACAGCTCTAATTACAGGCTCTCAGGATTCAGCAGTACCTGACACCAGACCTGACACCTGACACCAGCCAAGGCTCTTGGAATGCCAGGACAAGGACACTCAGGGGATCACAAAGGGAAGGATGCCCTGGAGGAGCAGGAGCCTAGGTCCAGAGAAGGGAGGTACTGGCTATTCCACAGGTCCCTCTCCTGGAGCCTCACTGTCTCTCTCTCACGATGGACAACTCTTCCCCAAAGCCAGGACCCCAGTCAGTGCCAGTCTCCAGGTCAGCAGAGTCCTGGAAAGTGCTGATGTGCAGTGTCACTTTCCAGGTTGGTCCTCTTTGTTTCTTCCAAAGAAGTTGTCTGTGATGAGGGGCAGAACTGTCCTCCATCCCAGGCCCAGATACACTGCTTAACTTCCTGTGCTTAACCAGTGCTCATGAGAACAGTGATGGGGAGCGAAGGGGCATCACCAGGGCTGGGGACTCATTGACCTTTGTAGGCAGGTGGTACAAGGTAACCGTCTGATGTTCCCTTTCAGGATCCCTAAAGCCAGTGGCCTCCAGGCAGCATGACACAGGGGAAAGACCATGAGTATTAGGCCGACTCAGTCCAGATCCATTTGCTGCTGCTCAGCTCCTAGGCTCGGGTAAATCATTCTGCATCCTGGCTCCCCTTATCTGAAGATGGGGCTAAACATTCCTGGTTTGGTGCATGGTTTAAATGAGGAAATATGGAAATCTTTATACTCAAAAGCCTGGAACATACCTGGAGCTCAAAACACAGTTGCCTGTGTTTTAGTTCATTAAATGGAAATGCAAGTGGCTGGCGGAGGAACGTGGTCTCTACCCCAGGAGTACGTGTGAGTCTGCAGAGTTCCCCACAAAGCAGCTCCCACCCCAGAGCAGCCTCTCCCTCTGGCACAGATGCCCCAAGGGACAACTTAGGCCTGCCTGTGCAGGCTCTCCAGGTCCTTCCAGGCAGCAGTGAAGAACCCCAGTGTCTCTCAGACAACAGCAACCCTCTACAGCTGGCAGGAGGGCTGGCAACTCCACCCTGGAGTGGCTGCAGGCATCTAGTAATTTCCAGAGAATCCTGCCCCAGAAATCCAAACCCATGGGTATTTCTCCAATTCATAAGTTCACAAATTAACAGAAAGGAAAATGTCTGTTGGGTAAAAGAATGAAAGTACTTGGCGGCTGCGCATTGGTCAGGCAAGTCTGCAGTGTTGATTCACACAAGTTTCTGGGAGAGATAGCCTCCAGCTAGGGCTGCCAGGAGGCCAGGCCTGGGACAGTGGGGCCCATCCCACCATGCCGAAGGGGGCACTCCCCTGGATCGGGTGAAATGCATCTAGCTGGGTCAGTCCCTATTTACTGGGCCCCCATCTTCCTGAGCTGTCATAGGAAGGTGAGGTTGGTTAATCAGTGAGGCTTATTTCCTTCCAGGCTCTAAGATGCAAGGAAAAATCCCATATTCCATGAGTAGCACCCAGAGTGCAACTCATTTCCTTCAAACCACCCCTCCACCCCCACCCCTCCCAGCAGCTGCCTGAAGGTGGGTCAGAGCCTTCCCCAATCAAGGGAGCTATAATTAGAGCTGAAATGCTGCTTTCATTAGGCAAATGTTCTGCACTTTTCTGTGGTGACTTTGGCCCTATTTGATAAGTATAGAACTCAGAACCAGAGAGAAACAGGAGAAGGAGAAACCCTGATCAGCTAGGGGTAGATAACATTGTCGGAAAAAATGTAAGCACGGCTGCCATAACCCTTCCGCTTTCTATACAGCGGCCCCCACACTATTCTCCAATTCATATCATAATATTCTGGGAGTTACGTTGAGGGCAGAGGGCTCGGGGTCCAAATAATAAAAATATCACTGTCATTTATTCCAGTAAGTACCCATACTTGAATTCTCCCTTATATCCTCACAACCCCTGTAAGGCTGGTGCCATTATGCCACTTTTCAGACAAAGCAACTGAGGCTCAGGAAGACTAGGCAGTTGTGTTAGGTCTCACAGGTTAGGTCTCAAAGGAGCAGACCAACTGTATCAGATACTAATTCACTGTGCATTATCCTCTCTGATCTTTCTATTAGGTGCAAGGAGTGGGGCTGGAGCCTGAGAGCTGGCACAGGCCCAGAAACCTGGCAGGCCAAGGAGGCTGCTATGGCAACACCAATTAAATGGACAGCAGGCTGGCTGCTGGGTTCTCATCCAGTTGGGAAGCTAGGATCAATTCTGCTCCCAGGTCCCCAGCTCTGCCTTAGTTTCGCGGTTGCACTGTGCCAACCTCCTCCAGGCAGCCCTCCCTGTGGCCTCGTCTGCCTCTGACCAAGGTAACTGCATAGGAAGTAGGGACCCCAGACCTGTACCCCAGCTGGGCAAAGGAGAAAGAGGGACTCAGAATATTAAGAGCTGAGAAAACCTGGCCTGTGAGGCCTTTGGAATTTTGGATGTTAGATCTGGACCCGGACAAGTGAGAAGGTAGGGTCTCAGACAAAGGATGGATCCAAAGGATTGCTGGTCTCTCCTCTCCTGGGTGCTGCTGTGGCTGCTTCTTCCAAGCGTGCCCTGGCAAACCCAAGAGACCTTTCACCATGGAAGGGGGAATGTCCACAAGTAAGCTGTGCATCTTTGAGGCGAATCTATCAACTTCTCCATTTGCCCAACTGCCAAATAGAAGCAGGCCTGGGAGGCGGGATGAGTGCAGCAGGAGTGCTCTGCACAGCCACGATGGGGGAAGAGACAGAGGGGCAAAGAGAGAGGGAAAGAAGGGTCTGGCAGGGAGGAGAGAGCTGCTGAGAGAAGATGAACAGGAGGGAGGCAGCCCAAGCCCAGGGCTGGATGGGGCCTGAGGAGAGGCAGGAAGGAAATGAACATCACTGAAGAGCAGATGTGGGAGAAGGGCAGCCCGGGCAGCCTCTGCGAAGAGCCACAGTGAGCCCCTCTGCCCACAGTGTCAGGGCGGCAGCTGGAGTAGTGTGGAAGGTATAGCTGGCCATGGCAAGGGCAGATGAGCACTGGGGCCACAGCCTACTCCCCAAGAGCACTCAGATTGCACAGGACTCCGCCCTGTCTAGTTGGGCTTCTGCATCAGTTTCTTTCTAGACTCAGTTTCTTTCCCTAAGTAGGGTCCAGTTCCTTCCCAAGGCCACCCTGAGAATGGGAGCCCCAGGTGGGTGTAGCTGGGCTTTGTTCCTTCCAGAACTCAGGACAAAGCACTGGACTCCCCTCCAGGGCAGCGAGGAGTCTGGCTGCCAGTGGGGTGCAGACAGGATGTGCCTGCAGGGGGCCTGGCAAGCAAGAGCATGGGGACAGCCTTGTGAGGGCCCCTTGTCTGGGGCGGGGGTCTCTCATTCTCCCTTTCTCTTTCTCTGTCATGGAGGGAGCTGGTAGCTCTGTTGCTAGGAGACGAGGAAACCCAGTTATCACCAGCCACAGCCCTAGATGGGATGCTGGCTTCCATTGTTCCGGTTTCTGCCCGTTACCCCTAAAAGGAGCTCTGCCCACTCCCAGCCCAACCATCCTCCAAGCTGCCCCTCCGCCCAGCCTTTTGTCTCAGACTTGAGCTGCTAAAGCTGTGCCTCTGGACCACTGGGTCCCTCCCCACCTCCTTCTCATCTCCTTTTTAATTTAACAAATGTCACGGAATGACCTGCTGGGTGTAAGTTTGCTTTGAGGATTAGGGCCTGGAAAAGAAATCATGGAGAGACAAAGCCCCGAATGAGGGAGGCGGGCCCAGGGCCCCAGGTCTCCACCTTGCCCATGGCTGCCTCTGCAGCCACCCTGTCCACAGCATGGGCAGGAACTGGGGCCTGAATGTCCTGGCTAGATGGCCACAGACAAATCACTGAACCTCTCCGAGCCGCAGTTTCCACCTTTACAAGATTCAGGAAGTGACAGTACCCCCCCACACACATACCAACCCCTGCTACTGTGAGGTTAAAAGGAATTAGCATGAACAAAGAGCTTCCTGTGGTGCCTGGTACCAGGGGAATGCTCAACAAGTGCCAGCTGCCCTCCTGCTACTGGAATTGCACATGGGGTGGCCCAGAAGATGCACTGTGGCCTCTGAAAGGATTTTGTGCCCTGGATGGGAAGCTGCAGCGGTGGAAGGCTGGGAGGTAAAATCAAGAGGCTCTATCTTGAGGTCACCTTCCCCACCCCTAAGCAATTTACCTGTGGTGCGAAATAAATTCCAATGGGCTACCTGTGCATCAGTAATGCCCCTTAGGCTCCACCCCAAACCTAAACTACATGTGTGCCCCCACACCATGTGTCAGGCAGAGAGAATGCCAGGCCCCGATGGTCATGGAGTCTCTCTCCACATTCTTAAAATAAAGGCCACTTTTATTTCATACTTCTTATCTTTTTAGCCACACCGAAAATTCTATCAGCTGCATCTGGGTGTAAGGAGTCAGTGGACTGCTTCTAGTTCCTGGTGCTCTAGAACACGGTCCAACCTGCACGAGGACTATGAGAAAAGTCTAGAAGCAGGCTAACTAGCAACCATGTGGCCTTGACTGTTCACCAGGACCCCCCCGCCCCAGGCATGGAGCAGCATCTGCTCATCACTTTGTTGGGGCCTCCCAAGCCAGCATGGAGGAGCTAAAGAGGAAACTGAGGTCCAGATCCAGGCCCAGGCCCACACTGCCCCAACCGCAGGGGAGGACTCACTGCAAGTAGTCTCCGACTCGTCAGAGCCATCGGGACACTCCTCCTCGCCGTCACACTTCCACCGCCCAGGGATACAGTGGCCACTGTCGCAGGTGAAGTCGCTGTCCACACACGTCCTCTTGGCTATGGAGCAAGGAGAAGAGCATGAGGAGTCAAAAGGATGTGGAAAGCTTTCCTGAGATACCCAGTCAGGGGCCAAAAAGTGACCAGAAGGTATGCAGTTAAAAGCCAGGCCACATGACCTGCTGCAGCACCACACGGCCACAGCGTACCTCACCATGCAGAAATACACCCCCAGTGCAATGCCAAGTCCAGCAAGGCCAACAGAGTCCATCACACTCTTATCCCTCAAAGCTCACTGCTGCCGTCTCCACCTCACGGCAGCTTTCCCTCACCCACTCTGGTCCCATTAGCCAGTGTTCAGCCCTTTACCTGCCCATCCCATCCCATCCCATCCACACTGGCAGTCGAGACCCCATCCCAGTGCACCTGGGAGCTGGCCATGAACCTAACAGCACTCCTTGGCAAGAGGAAAGAGGCATCTTATGTGCGCAGTGGTGACCAAGCACCGTGTGGGCAGTCCCCACAGCGGTCCCTGGCCCGGATGCCTTCTTGAGGTCATGCAGAGGAGACCTCCCATTTCTGTGCCTTCATTTGGATTCCACTGGGGCCTCCTTCCATTTGTGAGACCTTGGGGATGTTGTTAGTTCCCAAGCTTCCTTTTCTAGCTCTTTATAATGGGAAGAAGGAAATGAAGAACCATGAGGACTGAGGAGAAGGTGTGCTGTCTGAGGAACACGTCACAGAGAACCCGGCACACCACAGATACTTCTGAGTGGCAGCTGTTCCACAGTCTAAGTATTAATGAGGAGTGAAAGAAATGGGGCACTCGATCCCTGCAGCAGGGAGCGGTGCCTGGGCAAGGATGTGGGTACTGGTCCTGGCTCTGGACTCTTGCTCTGTCTGAAGATGCCCCATGTGACTGCTCTTTGCTATCTGGGCTCCCCAGCTCCTTCTGGAGTGTCTAGTGCTAACTGTGGGCAGGACAGTCAGGTCAGCTGTCCTGTTCGGCCTTCTGGGATAAGCATAGGTGGCCTGGTGACCCCAACATGCGGGGAGACGAGGCCTTGGGGACCCTGGCCTTGACTCCCCACACTGTAACCTACTGGCCTCCTCTGGAGCAAACCTGTGTTCCACTTCTACACCAGCCACAGGCCAGGACTGAAGGTCTAGGAGCTGTGACAGGGTAGCAAAGCAGAAGACAGAGCCCTGGGCGGGGAGGTGGGAGGCCTGGGTTTGCCGTGTGCCCTCAAACAAACCACTGTCTGTTTCTGGTCCTCAGTTTCTTCATCCCTGGAAAAGGGGTGGGAGATAATCATTTGGTGTAGAAGGCGTTCCAGAGCAGGAGGCCCAGAAACAGCGAGGGCAATCTCTTCTCACCTCAAAGGAAGGTTCCTCAGCACAGCAGAACCTACCAGGCCTTCAGGATCCCAAACTCCAAAGTCCACCTTTGGAGGAGCTGGGGTTGGGTGGGACACCAGAGGCCACCTGGATGCTGCCTGCCCCCAGCTTACTCCCCTCTCCTTGCTTTCAGCCTCTATACTTGCCACACTGGCCCCACCTCAACAGCTGCGATGTCCTGTGCCTATTGCACCACACACACCGTCACGCTTTGCTCGTCCTGTCTTTGGGGTGAAAGCCCTTTCTCCAAACACTGCCTTCCGTCAATTACACACTCGCCATGAGCTCTTCTAAGAAGCCCTCCCACAAGCCAGCTTCCTCTGTGGCCCTCTAGCTGCCTTCAGGGATTTGGGGAGAGACTGGTTCCCTAAATTCATTTCTGCCTTTCTTTTCCAGAGTCCTTATAGTGTATCTGCATTCTAAGATGAGTTTTCTTCGCATCTGCCTTAGACGTGTTTGTGTTTGTGCAGCGTTGGAAGAAACCCAAGAAATCACGGTGCACCTACGGTTAGGGAGTCTGAGGCAGCCCTCCCTGCGCCCTGTACCACTGCCTCCTTTGGGTGAATCATAGTCCATCTGAAGTCAGCATGATGTGAACCACAGCACTGGAAATCGTTCCCCTGCAAGAAGTCCAGCATCCACGGTGAGAAAGGCATACCCCAGGTTTTCTTTTTCTTGTTCCAACAATGCTGAGAGTTTCCTGTACAGCAGTCTCCCTTATATGTGTTACCTAGCAAACTACAGACCCAGGCCTTTCACGTTCTCCCTTGACATGAGGAAACCCAGGTCCAGAGAGGCTGTTATATGCCTACATCATAACTGGGTGAACTTGCAGTCAGGTGTACCTGCCTTTACCCACCATAGCTCCCTAACAACACTCAGTCAGGTGGAAGGCAGGCCCCATGGAAGCAGGCAGGAAAGCACCGTGGAAGCTTCAGCCAGTGACTTACCAGCCTCTGCCATTGGACACAGAGGTCAGTGAGCTAGCCAGGAGACCAGGGCAAGGGGGCACATACTTCTGGCCAGGATGCGTGACCAGGCAGGGACTAGAAGAGTAATGCAGGCTTGCAGGTAATGTGAAGGCTCTGTCACTGGCCACACTATGGCCAGACTCTCCAGGACCCTTTCTTCCCTGCACGCTGGACGCTCAGGGGTGAGCTTGGTCTCCTTCCATGTACCAAACCCTTACAGGCACTGGGCAAGACCAGAGTAGCCAAAAGCATCACCACAATCCCACAGAGCAGCATGGAGACCCAGCAAACGACAATGGCAGGAATAGTGTCCCTGATGGTGTTTTCCAGAACAAATCTGCTCACTGTCCAGGCCACTCTGGATACTTTCAACCCCGGCTCTGGCTTGGCATCTTTCACCTGTAATCTCAGTGACTTCTCATAGCTATGGTAGTAGCTGTTGCTAATGTACTCTATGGAAGAGGGAACTGAGGCTCAAAGAGGTGATGGTGGGAGTTCAACTGCATGTCACTGTCTCCATGAAGGCCCTTGGTCACCTGAGCATTAGCTGGCTAAGCATGCAGACCTGGAGAGGCAGGGACAAGTCGGTAAAGGTCAGCCATGTAGCACAGAAGTACATGTGAGAGGTGGGCCCTGGCAGTGTGCCATGTATGTGAGGCAGAGACCTGCCCCGGAACCACTTGTGCTCTGCTTATGTTCAGCCTTGGGGAAACTGAGACAGTGTGGTCAGGTTTAGGTTTGGGGTCACACTAACCACTATGGAGGGCCCAGCTGGAAGTGTGAGCACACAGCAGGATTTGGAATCAGAGCTGAGCCTGCCTGTTGTGGCCACCTCTTCACCAAGTGACCCTAGGCAAGTCCATTCCCTGTCTGAGCCAGTGGGATGTGACTTTCCCATGCAGCGCTGCCACAAGAACGAATGGCATAAAGGCCCTCCGGCACTCTCAAAGAGGGACCAGCAGCAGGCCATTCAGTGTAATGAGTCCAACAGTCCCATCGAGAGGCCATCTTATGCTTGCCATGGAAGCAAGCAGTCGTAAACTGCAGAGTAAGCTGCGGCAGACCTCTCTTTCTGGGCCTTGGCTCCAGTTCCCAGCATGATTTCCCAGCTGGGCTGGAGACCGTAGCTCCGTTTCCAGGGATTTATGTCCCTCCATGCCAGCCTGCCCCTTGGACAATGCCCACCTCTGTGAGTCCCTGTACTCCACGACCCAGGAGTGATACATAGTCATCCAGGGTCTGTGACATCATAATCTGGTGTCATGGCAACAGATAGGCTGCCATAAAGGACTCGGGATTCCAGAGGGCAGTGACAGTGTAGGGACAGTGGGAAACTCAGGACAAAGGATATGCATGTTACTGTTTACAGCAGGAGTGCAGGCTGACGACAGTGTCAGACACTACATGGCCAATCAGGCGTCTGCACTTACTCAAGTCACACAACTGCTCTCAGCCTCCCTCTTATCTGCCTCCAACACACACAGAGTTGCTATGAGGAGCAAATGGGCTACGGACAGCACCAGGTCTTTATATAAAAGCAAAAAAAGCAAATAGGTGCAGGTCTGACGTGTGGCTTGGGGCCCTTTGGGGAGCTGCCTTGGCCTCCCTTCTCATCAAGAGACGGGAGTGGGTGCTGATTGAGTCTCAATCCTTCTTCTCACCCAGGCTGTACTCTTACAAGATTATTGTGATCACTCAGCCCCTCTGGCAGCCCTGAGATGATGCACACCCTCACACTGCTGTGCCACCCACAGCACGTTGCAGTGCAGTCAGGGGGCCCCCGCAGAGCTGTTCAGGGTCCTTCCTCCTGCCAGTAGATGTCCCTCCTATTTACCACAGAAGTCGCTGCTCAAGGACAGCACACGCCCATTGGGGGCTGCATCCAAATCCAGGCATCGACTGACTGCTGCTCCCACGGAGTGGCCAGAAAGCCAGGGGCAGCTGCAGAGGAGGGCCATGTGTTCAAGAGAGGAGGCTGCGGGGTGGTGGGAGTGGAAAGGCTGCTGCAGGAAGAAGGCTGCAGGGTCTGAGTGGAGGCGCTGGGGTGAAGGCCAGTACAAGGGGCCTGAGATCTCCACCAGGCCAACATGTCCCCGCAGACACAAGCCGCTCAAGAGGCCCAACACAGGGCCTCGCTTTCCCTGAGCTCACCCAGGACCCAGCCAGCCTCTTGTGGAGCACAAGGCTGCTGTTCAGTAGCCAGCAAAACCCGGGGCTCACACTGCCAGAGCCTGCTTTGAGATCAGTGAGGCCAAGCAACATGGTAGACTGGCCCCTATCAGAAGGAGGAAGGGCAGGGGACAGGACAGTGAGCAGGAGCGGCCATCCACCCCAAATTCTGGGATACCTACTCTTCCCTTGGAGGTTCATGCTACCAGTGACTTTCCAAGGGCCCAGAGAAGGCCTGCAAGAGACACCTGAGTCAGTGTTTCCCCAGCACTTCTAAACCTATTCAACCAAGAAACTCATTTCCCAAGAAAAAGTGGCCAAGTGAACCATCCCCAGGAAAACACCACACGCTTCCAGTCCCGTCATCGTAAGAGGGGATGAGCTCTGCAGAATGACACGGGCTCCAGCCCCCAGGCAGGGTCAGCCCAACCAGATGCTGAACCATCAGAGGTGACTGATAACTGCGCCCAGAGTGGAGCTTTGGGAACCCCACTGGGGAGACTCCATGCTCAGGGTGGGGAC